GGGGGTGTGCACATTATTTTTAAAAGCTACTCCGCCGCTCGACCAATCAGGCTCGCTGGTCATTACGTAAACTGAGAGCTTCACTTTCATAATTTTTGGGAAGGGAAAAGACACTGGAAAAGAGAGTTTTACTGAGCGTTTGATGTCAGTTGTTTGCAAAACGTTTTGGGTAAAAACCTGCCAAATGCAAAGAATAATAATTTTCTGAAAACACAAGCCGTTTCCATTGTTTATCACACTTCGTATCGGACAAAATGTTGTCAAGTTGCAACACACAACCAGAGATATGCAGCCACACAAATCACCAAAAACGCCAGAAATAATCTGACAACTTCCTATATAAAAACATTCGACTGCCAAAAGAAACGAAGCTGTCTGCTTTGAGCCACAAGTTAGATCTTGGTTTAGTTATGAGCGGCCTGGCGGACCGGGTCACTGCATGCATAAAGAGCCGCGCTTGGTAGTTCATACTCGGCCGTCATTATGCGGCGTTATCCTTTGTGTTCTTTCATGATTTTCACAGACAACTCAAACTAAGTAATTTTCTACCGAATAAAAACGCGTCTCTACCTGTGCACTGTCTTATTATTCTGAGTTTGTATCGACTGCAACACGTTTGTAACTACACAGTGTTCTAGTGAACAGACATGATAAGAACTACTAGTAATTTTTATAAAATCTACGTTTTTATTAAAAAATATGATACTGCTTACAAACTTCAGCAGAATTTTTACATAATCTTGCGGTAACTGCTAACAATAATCTTTTACGATTTACAGCATACAGCAAATAGTAGCCGCTTACAAAAAAAATCAGTTCCAACAGATTTACAGAGATAATCCGTGCTTTTCAGATAGAACATAGAACGTCGTGCGTGAAAATTATTTCCACAAGTCTAGGACAACGTGCAACGTAAATTCACATAATCAACAAAATTATACTCGCTCATAATCTCATACCACGTCCGGGCAAGCTTTTTTCCAGGGCTATCTACTCCGGTATCGCGCGATAACTTTTCAGTGTTGTGATCTTGCTGATCGTCAATCTCCTCTGGGGGTAGGCCTAAAAAACCGTCCGTAACTCCAGAATACCCCGGCAGATTTTCTCCAATAATGTCTCAGAATAGTCCATAAACCTTCATCTGCAAATCTACGTAGGATACGGCCGTGAAAAAGATCGTCTACCGGCCCAAATGCTGGCGCAAAGCGCACAGCTTTCTCCGCTCGTAAACAAGCCACGCCATCCGCCATTTTGGGTGAGTCACGTGACCCCTACTCGCGCGAAATCTTAGCGTTCTTTTTGGCTGTTCTCTTTTACTGGACATATCCCCGGCCTGTTTTTCCAAATAGCGCCGCAGTAAGCTAAATACAGCGTGCTGACAGGCCAATGACCCATTTTTCGGTGGGAGGGATGGGCGCCCTTGGAATGGCGACAAAAAATTGGCGATTTCGGCTCTTTCGGGCTTCAAAATGGACATTATGTAACCCCTACGACATATACAGCATTTTAAGAATGAAACTGTGGAAAAAATGTTCATGGAAAGAGACAAAAAGGTGGTATTTTTTGAAAGATAAGCTTATAAACTAAAATCGTATGCGAGGCCGACACACTGCGCCGCTTTATATGTTGGGGAGGGGTGCTGGCGCATGGCACTGTTGACATTTACGAAAAAAATTCATAAAAAATCAACACTTTGAGATATTAAAAAATGCTCGCATACGTTTGTTCCTATTACTAGTGTGTGCCTTTCAACAAAATATGGTGAATAAAAACCAAAGCGCTGGCCAGAAAAATTGATTTTTCTAAAAAGGGGGCGTGGCTCATAACTCGAGATGACGTCATGATTACATCATCAAAATTTGCATAAATTATCATCTTGCACTAAGGTACTCACACAAAAAAAAATCAATGACCATAGGTAATCCTAAGTAGTATTTTTAGGATGTCCCCAAAGTCCTCAGCCACCCTTCCATACCACCTTAAGACCTGAAGTTGAGAAAATACTTAGGAGAAACCAAAATGGCTTTCGCAAGAACAGATCAACAACGTCCCAGATACTAACTGTTCGCAGGATAGTTGAAGGAGTAAAGTCAAGAAACCTAAAGGCCACTCTTCTATTCGTTGATTTCGCTAAGGCGTTTGATTCGATTGATAGAAGAAAGATGATGCAGATTCTTCTTGCTTATGGTATTCCAACTGAAACAGTGGATGCCATCATGATGTTATACCGGGACACTCAGGTTATTGTAAGATCCCCTGATGGAGACACAGAGCCCTTCAACATTGTAGCTGGAGTCCTTCAAGGGGACACACTTGCACCTTATTTGTTCGTCATGTGTCTGGACTATGTACTACGGACATCTGTCGACCAAATACAAGAAAATGGTTTCATCCTAGAGCACGCAAGATCTCGGCGATACCCTGCAAGGCATCTCACCGATGCAGATTTTGCTGATGACCTTGCACTTTTCAGCAACACAATCCAGCAAGCTGAAATTCTTTTACACTGCCTAGAAAAAGCAGCAAGGGGTATTGGTCTATATGTCAATGCTGGCAAAACAGAGTTTGTGACATTCAACCAACACGGAAACATCGCTTCTCTCGATGGAAATAGCATTAAACAGGTTGAGAAATTCACGTACTTAGGTAGTGACATTTCATCAACTGAAAATGATGTGAGTGCTCGTATTAGAAAAGCCTGGGCGGCAACTGACAAGCTATCAGTGATCTGGAAATCCCCCCTGCCAAATAAGCTGAAACGTGAATTCTTCCAAGCGACTGTAGTTTCAGTATTGCTGTATGGGAGCAACACATGGACGCTCACAAGACGTCTGGAGAAAAAGTTAGACGGAACGTATACAAAGATGCTAAGGGTAGTTCTTAACACTTCATGGAAGGAACACCCCACAAAGGAGCAGTTATACGGGGACCTACGACCTCTATCTCAGGTCATCAGAGAAAGGAGACTCAGGTTTGCTGGACATGCATGGCGAAGTAAAGGGGAAATCATCAGTGATGTACTTCTATGGACACCAAAGCATGGACATGCAAGGGTAGGCAGACCCTGTAAAACATTTATACAACAACTCTGCGACGATACACACTGCGATGTAGCTGACCTCCCTCGAGCTATGGAGGACCGAGAGAAGTGGAGGGAGATGGTCATGGAAGTCCGAGACACCAACTCGACCAGATGATGATGAAAATGCAGTGGTATCATTAAAAGTTCAAAATTCATTGTTTAAATATCGAACCAGCCTGGTGTGTTGACTTCATGGCTCCTATCATACCATTTTGGGCCATAATAGGATGCCTAGGCCTGTATTTTTCGCCCGTCCGCTCCATTATTTTTCTAGAAAAATCCGTTAACCAAGAAATTGAATTGGTGTGGCCTTACCTGTAAGTTGTTCCATTGGTAGCGCCCGATACACCTGGGTGCGTTTCTCCAGGCCATCTTGGCTCCGTACAACAGCTCATCATACTCCAGGTCATACAGACCTGTCTCTGACACCTGGGCTTGGATATCCTGCCATCGCTTCTCATGTTCCGCACTGTTAGCTCTGGAAGGAACAAATATAAATATATAGATGGTGTTTGGTGTCCATGGGCAACCATTGTTCAACTTACACATAGTGTGTTTCATGTATCAGTGATTATCATGTGTGTAGAATGTAAGTACACATGGGCAAATGTGTGTGTGTGTGTGTGTTTCTGTGTGTTGAGCTAGGTATGTATTCATGCATTTATGTACATGTAACTTGTGTGTGTGTGTGTGTGTGTGAGTGAGTGTTTGTGTATGTGTGTGTGTGTGTGTGTGTGCACATGTGTGTGTTTGTATATGTATGTATGTGTGTGTGTGTGTGTGTGCAATGTTGTGTGTGTACTAAATAATATTCTTTGTGATATGTGTACATTGCATTTGTACATATGTTCTTGTTTATGTCCATGACTGTCAATTTTTAGTTCTGTTCTAACATGTTCTACAATACATTAACACAGCTCTCTATTGTTCAGGTTTAGGAATGCTGGTTGGTTGGTGAAGAATGATAGAAAGATATCCCGATGACAAAGTCAGCACCAAGGCTAGCACTAATCCCAAAGCGCCACCTGGCAGATAGTCACAGAACAACAGGCACCGATCTGATTACACAGTCAGCACCAAGGTCAGCACCCACTCAAAGCGTCACCTAGCAGATAGCGGCAGAACGGCAGGCACTAGCAACAATACAGACACAAAACGTACTTTTTCAGTGAAGCATAGTAGTCGTCGATAAACTCCTTCGCCTGTTCCAGTACTTCATCCTTCGGCCTCTTGTAATCTGGTGGAAAAGGCTGTCTCTGCTGCACGACTGAGCCCATGCACTTTCCTGAACTACAGGGGCTAACCTGTGGACAAAAATAAGGTACAGTCAATGGACCACGCAGCAGCGCTCCTAGCGGTTGATTGCCTAAATACAGCATGAGACCCAGGGGACATTTATCAATCTGAAACCTCTGACTCTAAGTTCAATTTTTTATGAAAGTGTAGTGTATCATTTGGTAACAAAAACTTAAGACGTAAATGAAGTTATATCTAGTAGAAGGATAATAATTTGTTGAATAAGTTTGATACTTACATTGGTTGCTTTCAGGTGTAAAGTATCGGTCAAGTGTGTGTCTTTCAGGTGGTCGGTCAGACGGAGTGCTCTCCGCGGAGCTGTGTTGGTAGACCCTGTAAACGGACAACCGTTTTGTGTCTGTGTGCCACTCGTTGTTTTGGATTGTGCGGGCATGGTGTTGTCGTTTGGCTTTGTATATCTGTGGGAAACAACGAACAGTTTATTGCAAATTCTTGCCCGGGGGCTAATTGCAAATTACAAAACATAAAAGAACAATAAAATAGAGTATAAAGTAACTAAAGTCTACATGACAAAGGTAGCTGTCTAGAACTATAACTATGTCTAAAACTATGTCTGAAGGGTTTGACTTCTCTTCTGTAAACCATGGAAGACGTAATGTCCCACCTTTTCCAAAATGTGTGGGTTTTGGGAAGTTAAGAGAAGAATAGTTTTTTCTCTGACTGTAAGTTTAGAGAAATTGGGATAAATTGTAGAAGTTTTAATAGTCAACTCATTTCGAGCGTTGTTATGGAATGTACAATATGAATTCCTTAATTCGTTAGCTAGCAATGCAGCTTCCCTTTGCAATTTTAACTAAGCACATCAGCCAAGCGTTCTTCTTTTAAATTATTATTTTAGGCCATGTTGATTTGATTTATGTCATCCATAGTATATGGATGACATCCACGCACGCATGAATTTTCGGCCGTTACCAAAAAAAAAGTTTTCAACCATACTGTAAATCATACAAAACAGTTGCAAAAAGACCAGATATATACCGAAAGTTGCCCAAAAAAATATTGGAAAACGATACCAATGTGGTAGAATGCCAAAATCAAACGATAAAGACGAAAATGTAAAGAAAAATGACTTTGAAGAGTACATAATTTTCCAGACCATACTCTGTGTCATTTGTTCAACCTTCATGACTATGCATGTATGGTTCATAATGAAAGCAATTTTTTGGCAAAACTTTTTTTTATTCGCACGCTCGCATCAGTTTTTGGTTTCTCAGGGATGTCATCCATATAATCAAATCAACATGGACATATACATGGGCAATGTACGTCTCTGAAATATAACACTAACAGGTGTAATAATGTGACATTTGTGTGGATTTGATGGAAAAATTAAAAGAATGTTTTAAATGTGCTACTACAGAAAAAAATTGGAACTTTAAGCGTTATTGCCAAATTGTAGAAAAGTTAAATTCGTGTGGATAATCCAGAATTGGGAGATTATCCGAAAACTGGAGCGGAATGATTTTTAATTGAGAGAGAAAAGAGGTCAGACTGAGTACAGAGACAAGAAAATTATAGTGTCCTTACACCGTTTTATGGATAGTGGTCAAGTAGGGCAAAGATGCCAAATTGGCTGCATTTTGCCTTAAGGGTGTTTTTTGTCCCATTTTACGATTCAAATATTTCCCACAAATTCTCAATTCCATATGCTTATATGTAATCACATCGATATCATTTCACATTTTATAATTTGTGAAATATGACTTTGTTGGTTGTTTTTTTTTATTCCAACATGTAATCACCAGACGTGGTGACGGCACACTCAAGTTTTATCAACTTATATTAATGCCGCCACCAACACGGGGGACAAATACAGGACAATACTCATTTTCACCTGAGCGAAGTGAGGAAAGTCGTGTTAAGTGCCTTTCCCAAGGGCACAAGATCGGTGGCATGTCAGGACTCGAACCCGGGACTCAAAGTTCCGAGTCGCGCACTCTGCCGCTACGCCACACAACCCCACAAATGTTGGTTGGTTGATACCATCAAAGGGATACAGGCGGTGGAGGCTGTCCAGCGCAGGGCCGCCCGGGTGACCCTCAATGACTACAGGCGAACTAGCAGTGTGACACAAATGCTCAACGACCTGCAATGGCCTCTTCTCTCCGAAAGGAGGAGGAGCGCCCTAGCATGTTTAATATCAAAGAAAGACAGGGGCTTCTGGTATTCATCACATTACTGAAATCTGAAAATATATGAAATTATTGTCTCCTTAAGACTCTTTAAGTGAAAATGATTCACATGAGTATTTATATGGGCTTTAATAGGGTATGAATTAAACAAACCTTTATTGTACATGGAGATTTAAGCTTCATTCTACAACAATTTCAAGAAACTTCATCTGTGATATCTGTGGCAGTCTAAAGACCTGTTGTGTCTAAGTGATTTAGACATCATTTTTTAGTTTTTGTCTTTGTGATTGGTCCGTGTAGTTTGGGAATATGGCTGTAAAAGTTTTTGTTAAAAGTAGTTGTGTATGTATATGTACTTGTACTTGCCTCCATGATTTGAATAAACAGTGAAAATAAAGGAGGAGCGCCCGCCTTACAACATTTTTTAAAATAGCTCATAACATTGCAATCAATACCCAAACCGACAGTTTTTTTTGCAGCCCACACAGGCCGGGCGTACCCGATGGAGTCATGCACCCAAATACCGGCCCATAAACACACGCACAGACACCTACAGATTTCCTTTTTTGCCTCGTACCATCCCACAGTGGAACTCCTTACCCGGCCCGGTAGTTATGGCTCCCAATGTTGAGTCGTTCCGGGCCGGGCTGGCGGCCCGCCCGCCTTAGCCTGGACCTCCCCCCCCCTAACGGCACCCCTCGCGGGGTTATTTGGGGGGTATCAAAGACGAAGACGATTTCGATCCAGACTTAGCCAAGGCCATGTTGATTTGATTATATGGATGACATCCGCGCGCGCATGAATTTTCGGCCGTTTCCAAAAAAAAAAAGTTTCCAACCACACTGTAAATTGTACAAAACAGTTGCGAAATGAGCAAATATATTCCGAAAGTTGTAAAAAAAATATTTGAAAACGATTCCAACGTCGTAGAATGCCAAAATCAAACAAAAAACTAAAATGCAAAGAAATGAATTTAAAGAGTAGATTATTCGCCATACCATACTCTGTGTCATTTGTTCGACCTTCATAACAACGTAGATTTCATGAAAGCAACTTTTTTTTTGCAAAACTTTTTTTTTATTCGCGCGCTCGCATCAGTTTTGGGGTTCCCAGAGGATGTCATCCATATAATCAAATCAACATGGCCCAACTAGACCTAGACGATTTCGAGACTTAGACAACTAGACTTAGCCAACAACAGTATTACACAAATTTGACAACATTACGAAAATGTTTGTTTTCGTTTTATGCTGAATTCCAGGTAGCTACCAAAATAAATAAGAAATTATTTAAGTGGCTTAATGCACTGACTACGTGAAAAGGGACTCCCTTATAATTTGTCTGAAAAAAAAACGAATTGCAAAATTATAGTGAAATTTAGAACAAAAAGGGCACTTGTCTGAAAATTGTCTTATGAGTCGAGTGACTGAGCTGTATTTGTCTGTGAATTTTGAAGCATTGTCTCTTCCTTTTGGAACATTTTATTTGAAAAAAAACCATAGATTTATGGGGAAATTCAAGAATTGCATTGTTTGAATTGCATTGTTATAGAGTTCCCAGATCTCATACCTTCGCCAAATTTTTGGCGAAGAATATGATAAACTGATATAAGTCCTGAAAATGAGGATCCTATTTGTTAAATCAGGGAGGAAAATCTATAATTTGTCTGTCATAAAGATTAACATCATTTGGCGAAGGTATGAGATCGGGGAACTCTAGTATAGTTCCATGTGTTTCAAGAAGAGAGAAGAAACGGCGATAATAAACAGTAGATGAACAAGTGCATAGTGTTGTATTTGATACATCGACTTTTAGTATTTACCGTTAAATGTAGCATTTCAGTATTATATACTCCATTTTTTATATCCCCAAGACCAGATATGGTCACCTGTGCGGGAATATACAGTAAACATTCGTTTAAATAAAAGATTCATTTCAATGACTACAAAAAAGCCCATCGTTTCACTACCCTCTTGTTTGCATGCATCTAACATGCCTTCCTGAAGCAGCAAACGACCAGATGTACCTGGCCCTCTCCAGTACGCACCGCTTCGATGTGCTCTCATAAAGACACTTCCAGCTTCACACAAGCACAAGGCACCAAGAGCTAAATACTTAGAGAAACTCTGAACTGAACCACGCGAAAACAAGCACAAAGAGACCACGTCTAGCGATTTATTAGACGTAAAACAAGGACAACAACAACATCTAACACTATAATGTACGATACCCTGTCCTAAATCCTTCTAGAAATAACCACTTGGTTCAAAATCAAAGATTTCAGACAGTTACCAGGCATACAAAATCTTGAAGTTCCTAGACTTTTTGTACGGCACATAAAATTCCATTTATATCCCCCACCGGTCACAACACGTTATGATTTGTACTGGGTTCTTTCCACACATTTTCACTGTCACATTTGCCCAAGCCCAAGCATGTAGAAGAAGAAGAAGGTCTCCCGTGCTCTTATGCAGAGCGTAGGGTCCATCTCCATTTCCGTAGCCCTTGCTGGGCGACACACAGTTGTGCAAGGCACTACAGCAGGGGGCTAGTCTGCTGGTAGTGCTGTGTTTGACCTTCCCACACTCTTTCTCATATGTGCTGAGTGCTAAGCAGAGAATGAAGTGTGTACAATTTTTAAAGTCTTTGGTATGACCCGGCCGGGGTTTGAACTCACGACCTCCCGGTTACAAAGCGAGCACTCTATCAATTGAGCTATTGCACCGGTAGCTTCACAAGCATGTAGTAAAATGAAAAATATCTAAGTGATGTCTATCTAAACAACAACAAAGATAGGTAGAAAATGTAAAGAGATATTAAAAAACGTAAAATATGACATGTTTATAAAAGCCTGCCGAATGGCCTAGATATCAAACCAAAAGAGATCAACTGATTAATATGATAATACAAGAATGATCAACACTCAGTTACTGATATTAATAATTTAACACATAGGAATTATCGCCCTGGGAGCCTATGTGTGATAGTAAATATGAAAAATCATCATTGACTGAAAGAAATTCTTTTAAAAATGACCAGCGTCCAATGACTTAAACTACATGACTGTATTCCTATACTAAAATCAGACAACATAGCATGTAAGGTACGTATATAGTTTGCATTGCCATAACACTATAAACACAGTATACGGACATTCTTAAAACCATATCCTTATAACACATGTGTAACATAAAATACACCTACCTTATATATCAGTGATCACCGTGAAGCTCTTTTCTTTCGTTGAATAACACCGTGGTTTAAAAACTGGTGTGCTTCAGTAAGATTTGTTATACCACTTTCCTACACCTGTATACAGATGCGCAAAGCATGCTGGGTAAAGTAGTCTGAGCTACTATGTTGTCTGTGTGACCCCCGGGGTGACGTCATCAATCATAATTAAGCTAATTAAGGCCACACCGTCTTAATTTTATGGATGACATCCTCTGAAGACCCCTAAACTAGTGCGCGCGGGCGAATAAAATAAAACTCCGGCCAAAAATAAAAATGCTACTAAACCACAGGAATACTAAGCTGGTATTGTGAATTTGCGGCAGAACATAGCAACATATACGACAAGCCGGCACATGCTGGCTTTTTGCGAATTTATGAATCGACACAGTACTGAGGTCTTGAGTCGTGGAGCTTTGGTAGCCTGGGTGCCGTCCTCCAGAGTTACCACCGGCTCCACAAGCTAGCTACCATGGACTATCCAAGCCATAGCCTCGGATGACGTGATCTTTTTTTGAGAACAGACGAAAATCAATGCGCGCGCGGATGTCATCCATAAAATTAAGTCGGTGTGGCCTAAGCATAATTAAGCTAACTAACGTACAACGCTTGTGCGAAATGTCTAGTATTGTACCAATCACTTCGAATTCGGCAAATGTCTCGTTTAACCCTCAACAGAACACCTTCCCGGACTGATTAATCTGTACACCTGGGGTCCACGCGGACCCCAGAACAGTTTTTTGCTGATTTTTAGAAATTATCAACATGATACCAGCTCAATTGTTTTGCAAACTGATGTGGGAACCTCTGTGTCCACATTACATATAAAAATCATACATTTTGAACTTTTTCTATTTTTTGGTGAAGAAAAGAAGACAAGAAGAAATACCCGATTTTTAAACCCATTTCAGACTGAAGGGGCTTTTGAGGCCCAACTTTGATCTCAGATAGCGGCTAAACGGCTTGCGCTAGAAGTATCAAATTTGGAGACATTTCCTAAAATGTCTCTGGAAAAAAGTTCATATTAGTTAAATACTAGTAAGTTGATGTTTTTTTGTGTTGCCATGGCAACGGGCAGTTTTTTTTTTAAATTTTGGTTTAAACATAAAATTTTTCTGAGTTTTATATTAAATTACACTTCTTTTCCAACATTAATAACATCTTACATAATCAAATATAAGTTAAATCATTTAATATGCATAGAATATGCTAATTTGATGACGTCATTTGTCAAAATCCAATATGGCGGACTATATTATTAGCTCTGACATCATA